GGTTACAGTGCTCTTTCTGGAATTCTGATATACCATAGCATTTTTCTCTCTTGCTTTTTATAGTAGACATTTTCAAAATATGATGAAGCTCATATACCCATCACCCACCCTAAAAAAACTATCAATACATAACAAATCTTATTTCGTTTATACCCCACCATCTACTACTATTTCCTGTATCCTCTATCCCTTGATTATTTTGAAGCTAATTCCAGATATCATGTTATTTGTCATTTCATCTGCAAATATTTTGGTACACATTTTTAAAAGGTAAGGGCTATAAAGAGCAAAATCAAAGCACACTGGTACCTCCAAAATTAGTAAATCCCTAATGTCTTCAAACGTCCAATCAGTATCTACATTTTCTTAATTGTATTTGTGTTTTGCCTTTTCAGATGTGATAGTTATTGTTTTTATTTTGTAGTTTTTCTAAATCAGGACCTAAATAAAGTCCACACTTTATTGAAATTGGTTGAGGTATCTCTTAAATCTGCTTTATAGGTTCTCCTCTCTCATACATGCATCTGAGTCTCTCTTTCCTCCCTTCCTTATTTCTCTCTCTCTGCCCCCTCTCAATTTTTTGATGAAGAACATTGTTCTGTAGACTTTCCCATGGGCTCTATTTTACTAATTGCATTTTCCTTGTTATTTAACATGTTCCTTTGTCCCACATATTTCTGAAAATGGATAATTAAATGTACAGATCCAGTTTAGATTTTTATTTTTTTCATCTTTTTTCTTTAACAAGAACTACTCCAAAGGTGATGTTCTGTACAGTCATCAAGTAAATGAATCTTATGGTTTGCTCTTTTGTGATGTTATTAGATATGTAATAACTGCCTCAATCCATTAACTTATTAGGGAAGACAAAGTAATAATAACCAGTTACTCTTTTAAAAAATAAAAAAAAAAGCCAGAACACTTCTATAAAGAGAAACTTTCCTTTAGCTTTATTGATTACCCTTGGAACAGTATATAATAGGAAAGGCAATATAAATACTTGCTTCTTTCCCTTTAATTACCAGTTTTCAAAATTAGCTGGTTCTCTGGTTTTTATTGAAGATGACCAGTGAAATGTTTTTTTGCCATTTTGAACTCAAGCATTTAAACACACTTACGTTTCAGTATGTTGTAGTTATTATCATTATTCACTCTCAAAGTGTTCTGTCTTTGGCCAGAGGGCCCTTATTTCTCTTAGCTCCTAAAACCCTTTGATATGGCTCACCGCGCTTTCACATCTTGTGTGCTTCCTGCTCTGGGCCTGGATTTACCCATGTTGCCAGGAGCCCAGTGGAGAGAAGCGCCACCATACGCTGGGCTCTTTTGGTAGGGAATGGCAGCTGCACACTCTGGCCCTAGTGTTGGGGCACGGTACAACTGCAGACGGCACTCAGCGGCTCGGCACGCCGCTCTGTGACTAACTCTTCTCTTACAAGTCTTCTGGCCCTGCCCTCGCCTGTCTCCTTGCTTACTGTTAACAAAATGATTTCTCTTTCTACCAAAAAAAGTGTTCATAACATTTCAAAGTTACCAAATGAGTATTGTTGTTCAGCTACTCAGTTGAGTCCGACTCTTTTCAACTCCATGGACTGCAGCACACCAGGCTTCCCTGTCCTTCACCATCTCCCCGAGCTTGCCTCAAACTCATGTCCATTGAGTCAACGATGCCATCCAACCATCTCATCCTCTGTCGTACTCTTCTCCTCCCGCCTTCAATCTTTCCCAGCATGAGGGTCTTCTCCAACAAGCTGGCTCTTCAGGTGGCCAAAGAATTAGAGCTTCAGCTTTAGCATCAGTCCCTCAGTGAATATTCAGGATTGATTTCTTTTAGGATTGACTGGCTTGATCTCCTTGCAGTCCAAGGGACTATCAAGAGTCTTTCTCCAGCACCACCGTTTAAAAGTATCAATTCTTTGGCACTCAACCTCCTTTATGGTCCCAACTCTCACATCGATACATGACCACTGGAAAAATCATAGCTTTGACTGTATGGACCTTTGTAGGCAAAGTAACGTCTCTGCTTTTTCAATACGCTGTCTAGGTTTGTCATAGCTTTTTTTCCAAGGAGCAAGCATCTTCTAATTTCATGGCTGCAGTCACTGTCCGCAGTGATTTTGGAGCCCAGGAAAGTAGAGTCTGTCACTGTTTCCATTGTTTCCGCGTCTGTTGGCCATGAAGTGATGGGACCAGATGTCATGATCTTCGTCTTTTGAATGTTGAGTTTTAAGCCAGCTTTTTCACTCTCCTCTTTCACCTTCATCAAGAGGCTCTTTAGTTCCTCTTCACTTTCTACCATAAGGGTGGTGTCATCTGTATATCTGAGGTTATTGATATTTCTCCCAACAATCTTGATTCCAGCTTGTGCTTCATCCAGCCTGGCATTTTGCATGATGTACTCTGCATATAAGTTAAATAAGCAGGGTGACAATATATAGCCTTAATGTACTCCTTTCCCAATTTTGAAACAGTCCATTGTTTCGTGTAAGGTTCTAACTGTTGCTTCTTGACCTGCATACAGGTTTCTCAAGAGGCAGATAAGGTGGTCTGGTATTCCCATCTCTTAAAGAATTTTCCAGAGTTTGTTGTGATCCACACAGTCAACACTGTGGCTTTAGTGAAGCCAGTGAGTAGATTTGCTTAAGGTGAAGGATCAGAAGGAAATATTTAGAATTATAACTGTCTCCTTACCACCATCTCCTTCTGACTCTATAGAATCAGAGAGGGCTTTGAGGAAAGATTGAAAAAGCTGCACAGAAATATGCTTGAAACAGAAAAATGACACCATTAGCTTTTTTACAAGATTGAAAATTACAAAAGGGAAAATGATACCTTGAAAGTGGAAAAATTTGGCAGATACTACTGTAGCCAGGTGATGAAAGTTAATATCATCAATAATAGGAAATAGACATTATTTACCTCTTGATGTGATACTCTGAGGACACATCATTTATGCAGTAATCCTTCCAAAAATGCACTATCTTATTCATCAGGAAACTGACAAAGTCAAACTAAGAAACATTCTATAATTCGATGAATCTGTGCTTGTCAAAACCGTCAGTGTCATGAAAGACAAAGGATCACAAGCTGTTCCAAATTAAGAGACTGAACTGGTATGACAGCCAAAAAAATACCAGGCATGATCCTGGAGCTGGAAGGGAAGAAAAGACAATACTGCAGCTTTGAATACAGACTGTATATTAAATATGTTAGCAATATTGAATTTCCTGATTTTGAAAAATAAACTGTGATTATATAAGAGTATGTTCTTTTTCTTGAGAAGAACACAGTATTATTGCTGAAGAGTCATGATGTTTGAAACTTACTCTCAAATGGTTCAGTAAAAATAAAAGAATAAGAATGTGTATGGAAGCATTTTATATATTCCATATATACAAGAGATTTTAAAAAAGCACACGGTTAAATGTTGACAAAGAGTAAATTTAAGTAAAAGACAAAGGATTTCATTGCATTACTTTTACAACTTTTCTTTATTTAAGATCAAGTAACTCACTTTTATTATTTAATTTCATTTTTCTATAGCTTAGTTTTATTTTTGAAAATTTTATTTATTATAGTAATTTATTTTAATGTTTATAAACAAATATTTTAGTAGATATTTTATAATATGTCTGTACATTTTTGTATTCGAAATGCTTTATAGTTCATCCCGTGGCTTTTGAATGCTATGTTACGAATTGCTCTTAAAAAATGAAATACCATATAAATTTCAAAATACCAATATTATTATTTGACTTATGTGGTTCAGTCACTAATGGAGTGGGAACCTTTTAACTCTTGAAATTGACAAGTTCTACCTCAGGGAGTTGCTAAAGGAGCTAAAATAAAAACAATGAGCCTGTGGTTGTCTCAAAGCTACACTTCTGTCTCAACCTCTTTACTCCCTGCACCCCCTTTTCTGCCAGCTACCTCACAAATGTTTGAGTGACCAAAAGATTCAAGTGTTTGTGGTGGCTAAATAGGGTGGCTTTTGTTTTTGAGATTATAGACATGTGCAGAAACTGAGATCTCCTGTGGCAGGTGCAGTTTCTGCAGAAAGCCATTGCCCAAGCTGGTAGCGCCATAAAGGAGAGCTTTGACACTCCGTCTCTGGGTTTGCCTGTGTCATGTATAGTGGCCAAAGGGCACCAGGGACCGTGTCTTTGATGCCTTTTGTGTATCTCAGTATTAGCATCCGGCGTGCTGGCTGGTTGCCTTTCATAAAACCTTTTGGAATTCTAGGCTCACTGATGGTGTACCTGTTTTTAGAATAAATGAAGTGGGCTGCCAGTTTCCTCATACCTGTAAGGAAAGAAATTCAATGATATCAAAACTGTGTCTTTTTGCAGGTTAGGTTGATGATTGGGTTTGTTGCATTAATGTCATCAACATGCTAATCTTTTTCTTTTTTTAAAAAAATCTAGTGTTGTTAGCAGTGAGCTGGAGACTAAAAATTTTCCACTTCAGTTTGTTTATAATCAAAATTTTATACTCAAATTCTAAAACATATTGTTTATAGTCATGAAAAATTGAAAATAACTTTTACGCCCATGAACACAAAAATGGTTAAATCAGTAACTGTATCCATGCAGCTCTGAAGTGATTGAAGAGATTAAGATAAGTCCATATTTTCCAAAATTGAAAGATTTCTAAGACATATTTTAAGTGAAAACAACTTGCTGAAAAATACTTAACTCATTTATTTCTGAAAACAACTGTATTTGTATTGTGTACATAAATGTAAATACTTCTAGATACCCTATTAAAGAAAAGCCAAATTGTTGAATAATGTAGAGATTTGTGGGAGGGAAGAATGCAAAAAGGAATGAACTTATGTCTATACCTATCTTCTGCTTTTCTATGTGTAGCATTCTTAAGTACCAAAAATTTATTAATGTATTACTGTGTACTTATACAAATAAATGTAGATGGCAATTCATGTTAAAATTACAAAGGAGTGGATATAATCTAATCTGTGCAAATGATATGATTTCTTTCAATAGCTGATATGCATTCAAGATGGTTACCTTTCCCTGCTAACAGAAACTGGTGAAGTTCGTGAGGATCTTAAGCTGCCAGAGGGTGAACTAGGCAAAGAAATAGAAGGAAAATATAATGCAGGTGAAGATGTACAGGTAAAGACTTATGGGGAGATTGTTTTATTAAGCCATTTTATAAAAGCTTTGACCTAAAGTAATTAGCATAAAATACTATAAGAAATATGGCTGTTAAATACTGCTGAAATGTTGAAAAGGAACTCTAGAACTAGGCAGTTTTCCCAGGATACCTTTTACCATGCCCATTCCCAAAGAAAGTATCAAGGTTAATTTTTCGCTACAGAGACACTGTCAACCCCAAATTTGTTTTGAAGCTAAGCCTGAGCTATTCTGAAGGATGAGAAAGAATGTTATGGGGATTCTAAAGAGTTAAGGTGATTTATTTTATCTTTGTTATAACTTTCAGAAGTATAACATCTAAGTATTTCGGCATTTATAGTTCTTATTCTCCTGTTCCCTGGAAATTGTTTTAAAAACCACAATTTAAGAAACTCATCTCTAGAAAACTGTAGAGAAAGATGATTTGATCTTGGAATGCCTCTTTCCAAAATAAATATGTATAAAACATCCACAAATACTCATCTCATCCTTTCCTTCCCTCATTGTGTCCCCAAGTCTGTTCTCTATGTTTGGAAACGTATACATTACCACATGTAAAATAGATAACCAGTGGGAATTTGCTGTATGATGCAGGAAGCTCAAACCCAGTGCTCTGTGACAACCTAGAGGGGTGGGAGGGAGGTTCAATAGGGAGAGGACAGAGGTATACATATGGCTGATTCCTGTTGATGTATAGCAGGAACCAACACAATATTGTAAAGCAATTATCCTCCAATTAAAAATAAATAAATTTTTTAAAGTTAAATAAGCAGGGTGAAAAATAGATCCACAGTTATCCAGTGTATGATGAGTTAAATATATCTTATATAGATATTGCCTTTTGAATAACTTTCTAGCTGCTTTTTTTTCCTTCTAGGTGTCTGTCATGTGTGCGATGAGTGAAGAATATGCTGTAGCCATAAAGCCCTGCAAATAAATGGGAGCATCAGGCATGAGCAAACTGTATAGGTCTGGATCAGCTGCAGATCTAAAGTTTGGTTCTAAGTTGTCACCAAAGCTATGGCCTTCATAAGCAACCTCATTTCTTTTTCAGTTATTTTGAAATTGTGCTGAGTTAGTTTTGCAGGCAATTAGTGATTTAAAAAAATAATCAAGATATATAACTTTTTTTTAAATTTTGTAGGTGTCTTTCCTATAACATTCCTGTGGTTTTCAGTATGTGAGTCCAAGAAATAGATGAGATAGCTCCAGCAGATGTGATTTGTCTGAGCAAATAAATCATTCCTGAATTTTAGTTAAATGATAAATAAACCAGGGTTTTAAACAATGTAGCATCCAGTGGTATTGATGTACCACATTTAAGTTGAATTGCTCTGCATTAATTTCAAACTTAATATCATAGAATAAGTAGATTATGGATTGGAATTGTCAGAATTTCAGCCTGGGTGTGGCAAGTACAGGTCCTTAAACAAAAATTACGTTATCAAAAAGTGCCAGTTATCTTAGTAACTGTGTGCAGCCCACCTGTGTTACCTCAGTCATTCTGTTCTTTGCCAAATTTCTGGCAGACTTAATATAATCTGTATTATGATCATTTTAGTACTTTGTTGTGCTAAACAGAGGCAGTAAACTGTTGTGTGACTGTTACCAAGTCATATTGTAAAGAAGGCCCAAAGGACAGTGGCAGAGGGTGTTGGTAAAAGCTATAGGTTTTTATTTGAGGCCTTTGTAATCAGCATAAAAATAGGAAGTTTCTGTTTGCATTTTTAACTTTTGTTTTCTCTATTTAAAGGAGTGACGTGCTTTACAGGATACTATGCAGTACTTATCGATTATGTTGAATAGTTGATATTTGTAGTAATCACTCCTTTCCAGATATTTTTAAGTAGACTTTTTTTGACATCAAAATATTTGTTAAACAAAAACTGGAAATTCTTAAATTATTTGGAATACTTGTTAAATTTGTGTATGTTTTTTCTAACATGAAAGTGAATCATAGAAGAAAAGTTACTTTTTATGATTATTATTTAACTTAAGTATATGTATTTATCTGATTGTCATGTGACTTAATTCACTTTCTGGAATGAAATATAGCTAGGAAAGATTTCTGTAAACTAAATTACTTTTAAAAGTATTTTAGGTGATTCTGCTACATTTCTATTCAGTCTTTTGGATCATATATCTATTTCCAGAATTCTGGCATTATCACAGGGTTTGTGAGGACTTTTGACTCAATAACAGCCATTATATTGCAGTGAAACTTAGAGCAAAATCACCATTTCAGTAATACTTTCATTCTCTAAGATTGATTATAAGACCTCTCCCATCATACATTGACTTCTAAAAGGCCTTTGTACCCTAACCTAGAGGAAAATTTGCATGATGCTATAATCGGTCTATTCAGTGATTGGAAATAGCATTAGGAACAAAAGATCCCAGTTTTAGTTACTTAATTTGCCCACACTTTTAAATCTTGTATTGGCCTCAGCAAAACCACTTGGAGAAGCAAGATGCTTTAAGGAAATTCAAGAGGAATTCTAAAGCACAAGAAATATTGATGTTGTAGTTAATCATTTTTTAGTATAACATTTTAGCTTTTGCCCATCTAAAGCACAATCAGTAATTAGGCTAAGTTGTTTCATTTTGGGAATGCCATTTAGGTATCTACTAGATACTGCTCTAGTTTTTTTTAGTACTCTGTAGTATGTATCTTACTTGTGACTGGTTGGCATCCTTACCTGCAGGAATTCCAGAAAGTTACCAATCTGTACTTCTTGCTAGCCATTCATATGACCCCAGTTAACTACACTAGTATTCTGGTTTAGTATTAATTCTGGATTAGCATGCCCTTGTTCTTCCTAATTTATCAAACTTCACATAAATATATTTTCAATTGCAAGGTATATATAAATTATAATAATGCACCTATACTTCATATATTGAATGGCAAAAGCTACTTATGAATAAGTATTTTAAGTACTAAAATAAAGTGTAAATACTCTTCTGACATATAATAATAGGTATAGATTTTAAAGATATGGGACTGTTTATTTTCATGTAAGTCAATACTTGTTTCTCTTGAACAATATATTTCATTTAGAAAAGCTTTATAAATTGTATTAAAAGGAAGCAGGAAACATTTTTTAATAGAACAGAAATGACTTCATTCTTTTTTGACATCAGAAATGTTAAAAGTTGATTCCTAGTATTTGTTGTACTTTTTTGTAGTAAATGTTAAATGTCAGAGTTACCACGTGTAGAATGTAGACTGTCATGTTGATAGATTATACAGTGATACACCTTTTTGTCTGCAGGCATTTCAGCAATTTATATACAGTATTATACTAACAAGTGGAATATTTGTTTCTTTCTAGAACAACATTTTATTTCTACTGTGAAGACTTTGCTATATCTTATTTGCTAAAAGTTGTATACCCTCTGAAATAGATCAAATTATTGCTACTTTGACTTAGCGTTTGCATCATAAACATAATTACCATGTTTCTTTCATGCTCCCCTCCAAGGGCTGTCAAGTCACTTGAAATTGTTGCTAACCAAGCTCTTGAATCCATTTCCATTTATGGTACAAAATTCTGTATGGATGCTTTATAACTATTACCAAAACTCTCCTGCAGCCAGAGCATGAAATCTTTAATAGGAGATGCTGCAATAAAAAGTTTAGGCTATAAAATTGGGGGATACAATTTTTCATTATAGCACAATATGTGTGCATATGCACACATAGCTTTGTATGTTTGTTCTTTTTACAAAGTCCTTCCAACTCTTAAAAGTACTGTAGTCTGGTAGTGCCTCAAATGTTGGTAACTTTTTTTTTTTATTTACAACTTTTCCAGAATTTGTTTTTGTACTTTAAAGTTTCTCAATTAGATTATTTCTAGTTGTAATTCGAATGCATTGTTCTCAGGGCTGTTTGTGCTAAGAGCTGAAGTTTCCTTATTTTAAAGCTAACTGCCTGAAAGAATATTGCAAAATTTTCCCACATTGTAATACAATGATACATACAAATAAAAATCTGTAATATCAACACACTTAAACTATATGCTAAATATTCAAGGAAAAAAATGGGAACATTGCTAACATCTATACTGGAATCTTGCCATACTTTTTTCATTTTAGAAAAGAATTTGGTGGTCTTATCGTAGAACCTTATCCTTAATGATACACATGAAAGCATTCCTTTGGTATGGACCCCCAAAGATAGCTTTAGAGCCAAACTTTGATGTGGTGATTCTCAAAACATGTCTAGGGACAACAGAATTAAAATTCATAATACTTTGGGGGGTACATTAAACTGTTTACAGATTAAATTCTGTATATGAGCTAGTAACAAATTTATTATAAGAAAATATGACTCTTAAGCAGTATATGTGCAAACTATAAGCATATTTCCATAAATAGCATAATATTAATTGGTCAAGTTTTAAATTTTCTGATATCATCTAGGCATTATATTTCATAGTTGTCAAGCCTTTTTTCCTCCCAGGATTTGGACAAGTAATAGGAAACAAAGGCTTAAGAAAAATTTATTGTGAAAAACCTTAAAATTGAGAAAATTCAATCCATTAACTTTATTAAATTTTCTTTCTCTGAATTGAGCATATGGTATTATTTGATTTTAGCAGGGGACATTTGGATTTAGCTTACAGAACACAGATGTTCTATGGGAACATGACTTGAAGTTCTGTGTAATTTAATATTTTTTCATTAAATGACCATCTGAGCATCAACGTAACTACCAAGTGAGGTCAAGTGCCTGAAAAGTGCTGTATATATCTATATTCGTTTTCCTTACATGAAAGATGCATCTTATAGCAATGCATATCAGGCTTTTACCTGCTAAAAAAACATTATTGTTGCCAAATCTTACCATCTCCACCACTATTCCTGACTCCTTATTACTGGTTGAAATCTATTTTACAATTAAAAGAGAGGTTCCTTTATTTATATAAAGTCCCTGAAACTATGTCTTGATATTGGTAGACTTAAGTTTATCATAGTTCAAGATTGCACTTTTTTAAAACTCTGGATATAAAATTTATTCAGTGGTGACTATACAGCTTGTTATAAGTCATGGTTGTGATCTTTCTTGAGAGGAATCCTTTATGTGGTTAATATCTACTATAAATAAGCACTCTTGTGCTTGTTATAAATGCAGATTCCTAGCTCTGTATTGTTTCTGTCCTCCTCTTCAAAAAGGAAATAGTTGAAATGGCATTGTCTAATCCAGTGGCACTTTATTAGTAATACATTTTATTTGTCATAGGTATAAGAGAACTCATGCTCTTACCTGCAGAGACTCATGTTTTAGCTAAAACTTTAAAACTGTAAGATATGTAGTATGGGTATTATTATAATTGTGTATTTTACATTTCAAAAATGGGTAAAATTCATATATTAAGCCTTTGACTATGTTAAAATAATTGTGAAATCCTTTAAAATGTAGATAGTAAACTTATCAATTATAACTTTTTGTTACATTACAATATATTTGTCTGTTAACTTCATCAGTTATATTAAATAAAAATAAAGTTAATTTAACAGCTTATACTATTCTTGTATATATACATTCCTAGAGACATTTTCATACTAGAAAATAACTAATGTTAAAAGAAAATCTAACTTGTATTTTGTTTTCCTATATTTTAGGTTCTTATTGTATAGTACCCTAGCTTTACATCTGGGAATGTTAATGTCTAAATTTTAGTTCCAGATTTAGATATAATTTTTTAAAAAAATCTTTAAGTTTTTAATAGTTTTTAGAATATATAAAATACATGGTTCAAAATTCTGTAGATACAAGAATAAATCTCTCTCTGCCTCCTCTTCCTGTGCATTCTTCCACGGATACATAATGCAAGAGAGTTTAGTGGTCCCAACCCCTGACCAGGGTCTGAGGTGTTCCTTCCCTACCAGACTTGCTGTTCACTTTCTATACCGATGTGAATGGTGTGATGAATCCCAGAAGCAAACTCTTTTCCCAATCCTCATCATATCTAATCAACACCATCTGGACAGATACATCCTGAGGTGGCGCAGCAGTTTCTTCCTTTTAGCCACTGTACCATTCTAGAACACCTCTCTCACTTCCTGACGTGTGGACCAAACCAAGACTATCAGCATAATTGTCACCTCATATCTGTGATCAGTATTATCGTTACCCATAACCCTCCAGATCCAGCAAGCATAACTGGGCAGTGGGAGAAGCACCAGATTAAAGTCTTGTACTCCTCAGACCCACTCTTTTTTGCCACTTGCAAACACCAATAACTTGTATCCCAGAAATAGGCATGGGAGGGAAAAAAGAAGTGTGGAAAGGGACTAACTGTATGTCACATATCAGCTTGAGTTTCTTCCCACCCCCCACCCCCTCACAATAAACAAACATTCTATCCAAATAGGGTGCATCGTATGGAATTGCTACTTTTAGAACTCACACTGCCTGTCTAAGTGTGTTCCACCAATTCCCACAATACATTCAGCAGGATCAGTTACAATCACCAGATGTGTAAGGACCCACCTACAATGTTTTATCAATCCACTGTCCAATTTGTGAGTTATTTGAATCCAGTCGAAACAATTTTTGATCCCACCCGTGGGTACTATCCGGCATCACAATGACTTGTGTCCTGGTCTTTAGAAGGGCAAAAAGACTTGGCAGCCACAATCGCTATCAGATCTCTGACAGATTCTAATTGGGAGAATGGAGGTTTATCTACCTAATATTGATAGTGTGTCTGCCTTTTTTGTTCACACTGATGTGTGTGTGTTTCACTTAAAATTGTTGCCACTCTAGTGCATTTTAATTTTGTACAATCATTGAGGTAAATCTTAGAGAAAAAAATACAAATACATGGAACTTTCAGAAAAGAAAAGGACATTTAGGGCATAAAGAGAACCATTTCTACAAAGAGGAAATGGTAAAAATAACGCTGTACGAATCCTAAGTGAAAATAAAAAGACACTTCTACCTGGAAATTTGAAAACCTATTACATAATTCTATAGTGAAAGGAGTACTACAAACAAACAATTCCTGAAAAATAATGAAAACTGTATATCAGAATCTATGTACAGCAGTATACAGGAAAATTTGTAGCCTTAACATTGATATAAAAAATGAATATAAATAAATTCCTAAATCAAATAATCAGAGAAAAAGAAACCAAAAGAGAGCATAAGGGAAGAAATGATATAAACAGAATTAGATGATTAGAGAGCTTCCCAGGTGGTTCAGTTGGTATAGAATCCGCTTGCAGTGCAGAAGATGCAGGTTTGATCCCTGAGTCGAGAAGGTCCCCTGGAGAAGGAAATGGCAACCCACTCCAGTATTCTTGCCTGGGAAATCCTATGGATAGAGAAGCCTGGCCAGCTACAGTCCATGGGGTTACAAGAGTTGGACATGACTTAGTGACTAAACCACCAGGTGAACAGAAAAATTGAAATAAAAAATTCTGGTTTCTTGAAAAACTAACAAATCACTGGCTAATTTATTTAAGGTAAGTAAAAGAAGAAAACACAAAAGTAAAAAATGAGAACAAGAAAGAATGACTAAATGCAGAGAGAAAATGAAAAATTCTATGCAGATAAATTTGAAAACCTAGATATGATTTTTTAAGGAAAATATGGTTATTAGAATCAATCTCCATAGAAAGAGAAAGCTTAAACAGAACTTTTTTTCATTTATTTTTATTAGTTGGAGGCTACTTACTTCACAATATTGCAGTGGTTTTTGCCATACATTGACATGAGTCAGTCATGGATTTACATGTGTTCCCCATCCTGAACCCCCCTCCAGAACAACTTTAAAACAGAGAAAGGTATCAAGAAATTGTTCACACACACACACACACAAAACCCCAACAACCAAAAATGAAACCAGACAAATAGTTTCACAGGAGAATTTTACCAAACTTTCTTAAGAGTCCAGATGGTCTCAAAGTTACATAGATTGTTTTAGAGCATAGAAAATTAGAACTCCCAAATTCTTTTTACAAAACAAGTATAACATTGATAACCTGAACTTGATAAAGATGACAAAAATAAATACAAGTACTCAAGCAAATATCCTAATATACTATTCAAGTAGTGAACAGACTCAAACCACACATGAAGAAAATGATACCCACACCCACATAGAGTTTGTATCAGAGATGCAAAAATAAATCAATATTATGAAATCTTATCAATTCACTCCCAAGGAAATAGATTAATATCTTAGGAAATCTCTCTTAATAGTATTCACTATATTGAGTCTAAAGAGAAAGGTCATATAATTCTCTCCATAGATGCTGAAAAAAAACTTGAGATAAAACTCATCCTCAAAACATCTCTCTAAAATGGTAGTTGTATCAGGTTCATGAAATTATAGAAAAATTCCTTATTTGTGTTACTAATGCTATGTTCCACATGCAATAAATATGATTTCCCCCCACAACTTGTTTACATGAAGTACAGGTAGGTTTCTGTAACAACCCAAGTGGGCCATTTTTTAAAAGGTAACTAGGTTTTACTAAATGCAAGATCAGACCAGTGCTGCCAAAGTTGGGAACAAAGTTCAGCAGAGATTATCTGGGATCTCTGAAACCAAATTATTTTACCTGAACTTGGTGAAAAGAAAAAAAACTCTTCGAAAGAAAAAACAGAGGTGGATGAATATTTACCACCAATATATCTCCATTTACACATGATAATATGGTATATATAACATTGTGTGTATGTATGTGCATGATCACATGTGGGTGTGTGTTTGTGTGTAAAATTGTAAAAGCTAGCCTTTTACCTAGTGGAAAAACACTGAAGGCATTCTCAGTAAGGTCAAGAAATAGACAAGAATGCCCACTACTATCTTGACAACTATTATATTGTTCTGGAAGTATCAGCCAGTACTATTGCACAACAGAAAACAATTAAGACACATTAGAATTGTAAAAGTAAGAGAAGAAGCTTTCCTATTTTTAGGTGATCTGATAGAATACCTGGAAAATCCCAGATAATCAATGATAAAGCTAACTCAATAGAATTACTCATCAAATTAGAAGGATATAACATTAACATACAACAGCATTTATATACAAAAATAATAACCAATTAGAAGATATATAATGGAAGGAAGACCTTATTTACAGTAGCAGCAAAAAGATAGAATATAATGAACATACAAAAAATTTTTCAAAACCTATATGAACTATAAAACACTACTGAAAGACACAAATCTGACTTAAACAGGTAGAAAGATATTCCTTGTTCTTGGCTGATAGCTCAACACTGTTGAGATGCTAGTTCTACTTAATTTATAAACGTAATGCAGCTCCCTCAAACTACAAGCTTTTTTATGGAGCTAAGCAAGTTGCTAAAAAGTTCATGTGGAAATTTAAACAAGAAATAGCTAGAAAAATACTGAAAAGAGCTATAAGTGGGGACTAGCACTATGGAAATTAAAACTTACTGCGAAGTCTCTATGGGGTTTCCCAGGTGATGCCAGTGGTAAAGAACCCACCTGCCAATGCAGTAGACATAAGAGACACGGGTTCAATCCCTGGGTCGGGGAGATCCCCTGGAGGAGGGTATGGCAACCCACTCCAGTATTCTTGTCATGGAGAATGCCCTGGACAAAGGAGCCTGGAAAACTACAGTCCACAGGGTTGCAAAGAGTTGGACGCGGACTGAAGCAACTTCACACACACACACACACACACACACACACACACGCACGAGTCTCTATAATGAAAAGAGTGAGGTACTGGCAAATAAACAGACCAAAAGAGTGAAATATGAAGTCTCAAAATAGACCCAAATATATATACAGAAATTCTGTATTTGATAAAAGTAGTACTGCAAACCACTGGGCAAATATTAATTTAGCTAAATTGTGCTGTGACAATTGGAAAAAAATAAACTTGGAAAAAATAAAATGAATTCCATACAGCATACATAAGAATAAACTCCAAATGAAGCAGTGGTCCAAATGGAAACAATAAACTCTACAAGTCCTAGAAGATAATATGGGTGAATTTCTTATTAACTTGGCTTCCTTTCAACCATGACTGAAAATCCAGATACAATAAAAAGATTTATAGATATATATATATTGTAGATAAAAAACAATAAGTGGAGCAAAATGCTAATAGTAGGTAAAAGTCTAGATAAAGGATATATAGACACACATATATATTTATATATTCTTTACTAGATTTTCATTGTATTTATATATGTATACATTGTGTTTTGAAATATTTTTACAATTTTAAGTTTGAAATAGTTTATAAAGTTTTTTAAATTTCAAAAATGTATGTATTGTACGAACTAATATTTTAAAATGTATATAATTACTTGTGTAATCTAAATGATGTAGATATACCAATACACATTCATAAACATGGCATGTTCCAAAGGATTAAATAGCTATTTTAAGCAGGTGTGATTTTAGATATTTTTATGCATTATCTTTTTTACTTCTTTGTATTTCCTTTCATGAGCCATTTATTTCAGCATTAGAGGATAATAATTTTGTTCTTCAAAAGTTTCTCAAAGCATTGCTTATAGTAGTGAAAAAATGGAAATAATCTAAATGGACACAAATAGGTGAATGATTAAGATAAAAATGACGAGTAATAAAATTAAGCAATGAAAACAGATACTTGTTCTCATTTTAAAGGTTGGTCAATTATTCAGAATTCTTTTGGCACAGTATAGCAAGAAAATCTTCTGAAACTGCAATTGTTAAAAATAATTTTAAAATAACTGGTTTTTCTAAACATACACTGAGGGCTTCACTGGTAATGAAATCTGCCTGTCAATGCAGATTGGATCCCAAATACTGTGGAGCAATTAAGCCCCTGGGCCACCACTACTGAGCCTGAATTTTCACAAACCACACACACTTTATGTAACCACTCCCAAGATCAAGAAACAGCACATTACTAGCACAACAGACACACAAAATAAACTTTTTTTAATATGCAGTAGGTGTTTGTTTATATTTACTCACAACTTAGACCTTCTTTGCTCACTATTCCTTTTGGCAGATAGCGCTTCTTTCTAGGATCATTTTTCTTTATCCCAAAGTATATTTTTCAGAGTTCCTTTACTAGCGGTCTGTTGTTAATAGCAAATTTTCAGTTTTTTTATCTAAAAATGTCTTAAATGCATCTTTACTCTTGAAAGGTAGTTTTAAACTTTTTAGGTCTAGGTAGACGGATATTTTCTCTTGTGTATGCGTCAGTTGCTCAGTCGTGTCCAACTCTTTGCAACCCCATGGCCTGTAGCCCACCAGGCTCTTCTGTCCATGGAATTCACCAGGCAAGAATACTGGAGTGGGTTGCCATGCCCTTCTCCATTTCTTACACCACTACTGAGCCTGAATTTTCACAAACCACACACACTTTATGTAACCACTCCCAAGATCAAGAAACAGCACATTACTAGCACAACAGACACATAAACTTTTTTTAATATGCAGTAGGTGTTTGTTTATATTTACTCACAACTTAGACCTTCTTTGCTCACTATTCCTTTTGGCAGACAGCGCTTCTTTCTAGGATTATTTTTCTTTATCCCAAAGTATATTTTTCAGAGTTCCTTTACTAGCGGTCTGTTGTTAATAGCAAATTTTCAATTTTTTTATCTAAAAATGTCTTAAATGCATCTTTACTCTTGAAAGGTAGTTTTAAACTTTTGAGGTCTAGGTAGACGGATATTTTCTCTTGTGTATGCATCAGTTGCTCAGTCGTGTCCAACTCTTTGCAACCCCATGGCCTGTAGCCCACCAGGCTCTTCTGTCCATGGAATTCACCAGGCAAGAATAATGGAGTGGGTTGCCATGCCCTTCTCCATTTCTTTTTTTTTTCTCTCTTAGTACTTTGAAGATAGTAATTCTCTGCTCCTGGCTTTCCGGAGAAGGCAATGGCAACCCACTCCAGTACTCTTGCCTGGAGGGTCCCATGGACGGTGGAGCCTGGTAGGCTGCAGTCCATGGGGTCGCTAAGAGTCAGACACGACTGAGCGACTTCACTTTCACTTTTCACTCTCATGGATTGGAGAAGAAACTGGCAACCCACTCGTGTTCTTGCCTGGAGAATCCCAGGATGGGGGAGCCCAGTGGGCTGCAGTCTATGGGGTCACACAGAGTCGGACACGACTGAAGTGACTTAGCAGCAGCAGCAGCTGCTCCTGGCTTTCATTGTTGCTGGTGTGAAATCAGCTGTTAATATATCTCCTGTTAATAAACATTTTGGCTTTTCTTTCTGGATGCTTTTGAAATAACTGTGTGTTTGTGTTTTGAAGTTTCACTACAATGTGTTTAGGCATGCATTTCTTTTTAATTGTCCTGCTTGAGGCTTCCTGAAACTAAGAATTTAGCCATTATTTCTCTAAATTTTGCCTCACCCCCATTCTCTCTATTGTACCCTTCTGTGCGTGTGTATGCGCTTAGCTGCTAAGTCATGTCCGACTCTTTGCAGCCCCGGACTGGAGCCCACCAGGCTCCTCTGTCCATGGGATTTTCTCAGACAAGAATACTGATGTGTGCTGCCATTTCCTTCTCTAGGGGACCTTACTGACCTGGTACCCTTCTAGATCTCCCATTTGACATAACTAGAACATTCTTCTTCTGACATCTTTGTCTCTTAACCTACCTTTTTACATTTTCTCTTTGTCTATGTTGCATTTTAAGTAATTTCCCATTCACTGATTTTCTCTGCAGTTGTCTACTCCCGTTTAACTCATCCACTCTTCCTAATTAAAGATTTTGTTTTTAATTTTTAGAAGTTCTATTTTGTTCTTGTTTTTAAAAAATTCCTGGCCAATTTAAATTGTCCCCAGTTCCTTTATCATATCTTAAAGTCTTAGCTTTTAAATATATTGAAGATAGTTATTTGCATTTGCTTCTGCCTGGCACTATCAAGCCAAGCACACTTTTAAACTGTCTTTTTAGGCTGGAGCTGTCTCATACCATTTGAGCAGAACTAACTCTAGCCCTAAATTGGTATGAGCATGAGGACTGGTCATTTCTGCCTCCAAAAAATTCTTTAGCTTTTCCACTAACTTAACCATATATTAGAAATTATTGATAAAACTATATTTTATCTAGTTTTTTAATGTGGCTTCATATGGGAGGGTGTTCCTGTGAATCTAACCTGCCATATTGTTTTTTATTTTACTGCTCTATTCAGGCACTATTATAATATAGATCCAATGACTGAAGATTATATTAGAAATATATCTATCACATATTATAGTATCTATATTTGAATAACAGAAAAGGCAACTTCCCTTCATTGTTCTAAATTATCTTGGCTCTTCTTAGACACCTATTATTTCATATGTTTTAGAATCTATTGTCAAAATAAAAAATATTCATAGGATAAAAAATATTCATAGGATAAAAAAAATATTTGTAGGGTGTTGATAGGCAATGTATGTACATATACTACATATATAATGGAGAAAGAGAATCTGTGTTTAAAATTGTTTATAATATTTAATCTTACTATCTTACATTTCTGGTTAATATTTTCCTCAAGTTTTTTTTCATAATTAAAATTTTTTTTCTGTTATAGTTCTATTTATTTATCTTGGGATTACTAGTTATTTTCAAAAATATATTGTTTTTGATACCCACTTTGTACAAATGGCTTAATAGTTTTACAGATTTTTTTTATCATTGCATGCAAGACTGCCAAAAACAAGCAATAAAGTAATAAGTGCCTCAATTAATGGCTTATTTTCAAAATATCAATAGTACAAGGATCATTTCTACTTTTCAGCCTGGGCAGCCCTGGAGAAGAAAATGCCAATTGCTCTTCTTTTTCCTTAATGTTTATAAAATAAATAAAATTACAGTGGTTCCTGAAGCAAACAAGCAAAAAAAGTTGAAATGAATTTCTTCTAGGAATTCAACAGTTCTACTTAGAATCTACACACTGTAGGCTTCATTAAGCATAGCTCTCACTATTACTAATCATTTTCACCAAGAACATACACAGCTATCCCTCTCTAGGGTTGCTCTCCAAATTAACAAAACTCCACCCCAGCGTCTACACTTGCCCACCCCAACCCCCTGCATGACAGTTTCACCTCAACAAACAAAAACACGCTGAGAGGCATGCCACATTTCTGAAACAACATCAATTGTGAATCCTTCAAAGCTGAGAAACTTTTTTTTTTTCTCATCAAGTATGTCACTACCACATAGCCATCCTCTTGTGTCTTGTACATTTTAGTAGTAAGACGTCAGCAAAATATTCCTTGGATGGCATCACCGACTCAACGAACATGAGTTTGAGTAAACTCTGGGAGTTGGCAATGGACAGGGAGGCCTGGCATGCTGCAGTCCATGGAGTCGCAGAGTCGGACACGGCTGAGAGACTGAACTGAACTGAAAATATTCCTCGAATGTTTACTGGGAGGCATTAAGGATGGAGTCAGGAGTCGTAGGATTAACCCTGTGTTGTGTGCTGTGCTTAGTCACCCAGTCCTTTCCGATTCTTTGAGAACCCATGGACTGAAGTCTGTCAGGCACCTCTGTCCACAGGAATTCTCCAGGAAAGTATAAAGTGGGGGGTTGCCATGCCCTCCTCCAGAGGTCTTCCCAATCCAGGGATCAAACCCGAGTCTCCCGCATTGCAGGCGGATTCTTTACCATCTGAGCCACCAAGGAAACCCAAAAGTACTGCAGTGGATAGCCTATCCCTTCTTCAGGGGATCTTCCCCACCCAGGAGTCGAACCGGAGTCTCCTTCATTACAGGCGGTTTCTTTACCAGCGGAGCTATCAGGGAAGCCCAAGATTAACTCTAAAACCTATAAATAGAATAAAATATAATAAATTACACACAATGTGTGAACACGTGAGCACTACGCAGTTTTCTCTTAAAAGATTTTCTTTTTACCCTCAAGAACATAGTTTTGGCTCCCCAAAACACAGATTTCCCTCAACAGTCATTTAGAAAACAAGACTTAAGAGTCAAAGCATATATACAGAAATAACTTTTTTGCTAGAAGATTATAATTGCAATATAAGACAGGCGATCCCAAAGGAACCCGAGACACTGCCTTGCCCTGATTTGGACGAAAGACCCAGGCGATTAGCGAAAAACATTTCCTGCATCCCTCGGGTGTGTGCAGTTGAAGCGGTCTCCCAGAAAGTAACCGCAGACACCACTGCGGTCAACCAGCATTTGCAGTCACCAGCGCAGTATCGTGAATTGTTTCTCCTACCGCCGGCCGGCGCTCCCCAGTAAACTGACGGCCTCCAGCCCTCCCGGCCACCCCCGGGTTTCCTGGGTTACGGGCCTCGGCGCTCCTCCCAAGTTCTCTTCCGAGAGCGACGGCGATCTTACGTTCTCGGCGCGTGACGCAGCACGCTTTGGTATAAATACGTGCGGCCGGCAGCCTCTTTCTCTCTCATCGCGCGGCACGCCTTCAAGATGGCGCCGGTGAGTGTTCGTCTCGTTGCCGGGAGTGAGCTGATTTTCGTCCGTTGTAGATGAGTTTTGTAGCTGGCGAGTTGAGATCTCTAATTTTAGGCAGAGGGAGGGGGAAAATGGAGACATGGGTTAGGAACACAAGCAGAACGTTAAGATTGTGAGTTTTTTTTTTTCTTACTCCTGTCGACTGCCATGCGGTCTTGTGGATTTCGAGGTAGGCCCGAATTGGCTTAAGATGGTTGATCGTGGCAGCGCAGGGAACGAAGAGGAGGCAGGACGGTGAACGGGGCTAGTGGGACAGCCTTTGGGCCATTACCTTTTTTTTTTTTTTTTATATCTGGCGCCGGATAACGCCTATGTTTCCACTAGGAAGCGAAGATGGGTAATGCGGCAGGTCTAATGGCTTTGCCAGGCGAAGGGAGAGAGCCGAGGCACTCAACTTCCGGGATAGCGGCGGGTGCAGAAGTTTCAGAGAACTTTTAAGTTAGGGAAGAAGTTTCTTCATTATCTCACGATAAAAGTTTTTTACATGGTGAAAGCCAGAACTCTTAGGCGAATGTAAAAGTGGCGTTTTTCCAAGATTTTTCTTACTATATAAGGGAACCAGTACCTAAAGCCGGTTAAAGAGCTTTAAAGCCATCCAAAGAGCGTTTGAAATGTTAGGGTAAAACTGCATTTCTAAACTTAATTGATACTCAGATATAAATTGCCCAGCCAAGTCCAGCTCCTAGTATTCTCTTCTACCAGTTTCAGTTAAGTCGCTCAGTCGTGTCCGACACTTTGCGACCCCATGGACTGCAGCACGCCAGCCTTCTCTGTCATCCCTAACTCCAGGAGCTTGCTCAGACTCGTCCTTGGAGTCGGTGATGCCATCCAACCATCTCATACTCTGTTGTTCCCTTCTCCTGCCTTCAGTCTTTTCCCAGCATCAGGGTCAGTCCTTCTTATCTGGTGGCCAGAGTAGTGGAGCTTCAACATGAATATTCAGGACTGATTTCCTTTAGGATTGATTGGTTAGATATTGCAGTCCAAGAGACTCTAAAGAATTTTCTCCAGCACCACAGTTAAAAAGCATCAATTCTTCAGCACTCAGCTTTCTTTATGGTCCAACTCTCACATCTATACATGACTACTGGAAAAACCATAGCTTGTTTCAAAGTTTGGGTGAGAATTTTTGACATAAATGTTTTTTAAAAAGCTGTTAAGATTCGTTTTCCTCACCCATAACAGCATTAAGGATTGAATTTTCTAGTGGTAAGTGGGCGGAATATCCCATGCCTGGTAATTTGAAATTGAACATGTTCTGTCTGGAAAATAATAAAAGCCCACTAAACTTAGTCTTGATAATTTGAGGAGGGGGAAATGGACCTGATTAGAAGTTCTGATCAAGCTCTGGGTAACTTGTTGAAAGGAGGTTGATTCTCTTAATTTTTTCCATTTGAAAAATAGGATTCTTGGGAATCTGGTGAAGCAAACTATAGGTCACCATGTACTTTGAGATTTCTTGAATTTTGCACTTGTGAAACACTTATATGATGAACAAGGGAAGTTTCCAGTGGATTTCATGAAACTTGGTTTTTAACCAAGTTGATGAGTGTACTCCCCTACTCATAGCTGGGTTAGAAAAAGTTAGGGTGTAGAATTTTGCACCATTTCATACATATATAGCCTCATTGTACATCTCTGCACTGATAACAGGGTTTTGATTTTATATGTGAATAAATTATTGTAGAGAGCCATACTTACATTGACTTTTCTGTAGAAGAAAGACAAGAAGCCTAAGAAGTCAACCTGGAAGTTTAATTTGGATCTTACTCATCCAGTAGAAGATGGAATTTTTGATTCTGGAAATTTTGTAAGTATCACTCTGCTCAGCTTGTTTTTATCATTTTAGTAGAATTTCTAATAATGAATTACATAATTTTTGATTTTAACCTAATCTCTGTTCCTAGGGTACCTTCCCTAGTGAATATCTAGGGTTTTCTTCCCTAGTGTGGCATTTTTTCTGTTTTAAAATAGGAACAGTTTCTGCGGGAGAAGGTTAAAGTGAATGGAAAAACTGGAAATCTTGGAAACGTCGTTCACATTGAACGCTTCAAGAATAAAATCATAGTTGTTTCTGAGAAACAGTTCTCTAAAAGGTTGGTATGTGTGTTCCATTGTGTTTTGTTTAAAGTGTTGGGTGCTTTAGTATTAGAATGTGTTTGAAGAAACATGTCTGTTGTGTAATACGGGAGTAGTGTCCTAGCTTCTAATAGAAGCAGCCAATCAAAGGTAAATTCTCTAATGTTCGTCTTGTGGCCAGTTTTCATTCATTAAAATTTTCTTGACAGATAGTAAATATTAATATTTCATAATGACAGGACTGTTTGTTATTGCATAGCCTAGCAGTGAACCAGGCACACTAGGTAGCCACTACCAAGGAACTTAAATTTTAGCAAAGAAAAGAATGAAATGCAGTGATGTAAGTAGTTGATAAGAGCTGTGTGTAAGTGCATAAAGAAAGTTGATGTTTAAAGTGGTCAGGGAAAGCTTCACCTGAATGAATTACGTAGTGAGCCAGAGACTTAGGAGCCTGTGGTGGGAGTGCATATTAGCTGTGGTCGTGAATTAATCAGTGGGGATTTGGAGAAGAAGTATCTGTCCCCAAGATTCTTATGGACATGCAGATAACTGTTACAAATGCAATATTGTAATTGCTGCATTGAAGGTAGAGACTGGGATAGCAGGAGTTTGCAGAGAACCTGAGAGTAAGCTTCGTGTTACCAGTGGAATGAGATTCCTCACTGAGAGCAACATTGACAAAGGGCAGGGAGGCTTGAGAGGAATGCATAGGTGTTCAGAATTGTAAAATATAAAGAGAGAGTGAATGGCATAATGAAATCAGGCCATGCTGAAAGCTTTTTTTATAAGGACTGGGCCATATGCAGGCTGCAAAACTGGATAATCTTGAACTTGTGAATAGGATTCAGCCCTGTTGACAGGTTGCCTGTTGATCCAAGATGGGATTGAGATTAGGGAGATTGGTGGTGAAGAGAATATTGATGTTGGCATGTAACATTTAAAGAATTAGGTCATATTGTTTAATTTCAAAATCTAATGTCGCAGTAGACTGAAGAGGAAGCTGCTATTACTGCTATCCTTCATATTAGTCTCCAGCATATAAAGTTTATTGCAAGGGTTCAGGGAGAATAAGGGTTTTGTTGTAGGGCATAAACTAATGGTAATTCAGGTTGAGAAGGCTACCTTATATCCCTGGCAGCCTTGCTCAATATTTAATACAAATGAAATAATTAAAGGGAACTACGAACACAGAAGATGAATATGACAGTGCATCTTATATCAACCTTTATGTAGTATTATATTTAATGAAATTTATTTTTATTTTAAAGGTATTTGAAGTACCTTACCAAGAAATATCTTAAAAAGAACAATCTTCGTGATTGGCTTCGTGTGGTTGCATCTGACAAGGAGACTTATGAGCTTCGTTACTTCCAGATTAATCAAGATGAAGATGAATCTGAGTCTGAGGACTAGATGATGCCATCCTTTATAGGGCTTTGCTTGCTAATAAAACACATTAAGCATACAAAAGAAAGAAACATCTTGAAATGGACCTTTAGCTTATTGGTGAATAAAAAACATTACTCTGTATGTTAAACATTCATCTTTTATTTAAGTGTATGCTGTTTATATGGTGCTGGCTTTCCTTTAATACTTTTTTATATTTTTATTGGAGTGTAGTTGATTTACAATGTTGTGTTAGTTTCAGGTATACAGCAAAGTGAATGTGCAAATAAGCTTTTGTCCACCCCGCCCCCTCCAAATACCTTGTATAAGCAGTATTTAAATAGCTTATAGCTAGTGGAATTTCAGGATTTCTGTAATGTACTGATTTTACAGATGTCCTCTAGTTAAAAGTATATAGCAAAAATAATTTGGGGTGTAAGTATATAATAAAATATTTAGATTTGATCAGCAGTCTATCTTTGTACAATGTGTAAATGAAATCCTGATTGCCTACAACAGTTGTTACACGTAAGTGCTCAGTATTGAATCACTGCTGCCCTTTGCTTCAGGGGAGTGCTTCCCTAATTAGCATAAAGGGTCTGAGTTGAGCATGGTACTATAAACCAGTTTGCCTGTTGATCATGATCCAGGTGCCTTGTGGGCACTAGAAACAAAACCTTTGAAGGATTTGAATCTGAACTCTTACCCACTAAATCTGCTTCTGTGTTCTTTGAATAATTAGAATTCACTCAACTAGTTGGAATCTCTCAACCTCCTTACTAATCACTCAGAAAATGTTGATCTTCTGTTGCTTGAAACTCAGTGGACAGACCCTTTCTCCCAAATAAAGCAACCCTTGAGAGTTCTTTAAGCAGAATGGTTAACAATCTCCAAATTGTAGATGAGAATTAGTGGAAGGGAGGTACTAGAGCCATATCTTTTCTGCTGGTCCCAGGGTGGTGGTAGTCTCAGGTACTTAGATGGGCCATGAATCCTAATGCCAGTAGAACAGTGTTGCCAGATTTTGACTATTCCAACTGAACATAGATGTGTGTGTAATTGGTTTGGGGAGTGTTAAATGTTTTCATTCTGTTAAGAGCTTTAAGTACTTCCCAAAGTTAACACAGCTACTCTTCCCTTAACTCTGCCCCATTCTTTGAGTTGTTCATGTTTTCTACCAATATCCTACTGTGTGCTTGCTTTGTTGGGCATGGTGAATGCATTGAAGTAAAAACAGCCTGCTTTCTGGTATTGTGAGGGAAACTGACCACATGGTGAGGGAAATTGCAGTAAAGTATAACAAAGGGCTTTTAAAAGTTTGATGTCAAGGGAAGGAAGTGAGGAAGTGTTTGAGCTGACCTAGAACAGGCGAAGTCATCTCTGGATAAAGAGAAAAGGGTGTTCCAGGCAGAGGAAACAGCATAGATAAAATTCTCAGGACATTGGGGGTCTAGTTGGCATACCATGCATATGGAATAGAATGATTAGTCATGAGAAGAATGGAAAGTTAAGTAGAAGCCAGCCCATGTAGGACAGAAGTTGATGGCTCCTTTTAATTGAGAGCTATGGGAAAGTGCTGAATTTTAAGTAGGGGGTAATGAGAATCCAATGAAGTAAGCATTTTGAAAAAGATCAGTGGCTGCTTTATAAAGAATGGTTTTCAATGGAGGTCATATTGGATGCTTCCTTGGTAGTTCAGCTGGTAAAAGAATATGCCTGCTATGCAGGAGACTCCAGTTGGATTCCTGGGTCAGGAAGATACCCTGGAGAAGGGAGAAGCTCCCCACTCCAGTATTCTTTGGCTTCCCTGGTGGCCCAGACTGTAAAGAATCCACCTGCAGTGCTGGAGACCTGGGTTTGATCCCTGGGTTGGGAAGATCCTCTGGAGGGCATGGTAACCCACTCCAGTATTCTTGCCTGGAGAATCCCCAGGGACAGAGGAGCCTGGTGGGCTACAGTCCATGGGTCGCAAAGAGTCGGATACAACTGAGCAACTAAGCCCATATTGGATGCAAGGATACAAGAGGCTTATGGCTAGATCCTTGATAGTAGAGAAGAGTGAGGTGTTGGAGATGGGCAAGTAGATGATTTAGGGATTTTTCAGAGGATAAAATTTTGGGGGCTTGGTGATGGACATTGGTGGAATGGGAGAAATGTCAAGGGTGACATACAGTGGGTTTAGATGGTGGCATTTGCTGAGTTTGGTTACAGTACAGTGGAAGAAGTAGATTTAGGCCATGCTGAATTTGAGGTCCAGAAAATATCAAGTATGAACTTGGAATATAGTATAGGTTTTGAGCTCAGAGGAAGGATCTAGGTGAAGATAACCTGCTTGTTTTCTGCACATGGGTAGTAAAAAAAACAGACATGGGTGAAATTGCCTATGAAGAGTGCAGAGTGAGGGTTAAGTATTGCAAACACCAGCTGCCTCATTGCTCTCCTAATCTTTCAGAAACAATTAATTTAACTTTTGATCCTGTGAGCTGGAGCTTGGACACATTTTGCCAAGTAAGATACACATGCCTTTAAGGAGTTGGCAAGTTAGTTGAGATAAGCACATTTATTTAACATTTTTTTTTTTGAGAAAAGGGGCATGCTAGAACTGCTGATGGTAGTGCTCACTCAGTCGTGTCCGACTCTTTGTGACCCCCATGGACTGTAGCCCACCAGGCTCCTCTGTCCATGGGATTCTCCAGGCAAGAATACTGGAGTGGGTTGCCATTTCCTCCCCATGGAATCTTCTGACCCAAGGACTGAACCATACTGAAGTACAAAATAAACATTTGTTTTTCGAAGCTTATACTCCAGTGGAGGAAGATAGTAACATGGATGACTGTTGTTTTCGTTGTTGTTTAGTCCCTAAGTCATGTCCAACTCTACTGTGACCCCATGGACTGTAACCCACCAGGCTACTCTGTCCATGGGATTTCCCAGGCAAGAATACTGGAGTTGATAGCCTTTTCCTTCTCCAGGGAATCTTCCTGACCCAGGGTTCCAGCCCACGTCTCCAGCATTGCAGGCAGATTCTTTACCACTAGTGCCACCTGGGAAGCCCCAGAATGTTTGGTACGTAGTGGTAAATTTTATGAAGAAAAATCAGAGATAAGAAATGTAGGGTGCTCACTTCGGCAGCACATATACTAAAATTGGAACGATACAGAGAAGATTAGCATGGGCCCTGTGAAAGGATGACATGCAAATTCGTGAAACGTTCCATATTTAAAAAAAAAAAAAATGTAGGGAGGATGGCTTGTTGAATTTGTCAGTAAGGTCAGGAAAGGGTTAACTGGGAAAAGGTTAAGTGAGGAAAGACCTAAAGGAGCTGGGGTCCAACCAGATACCTGGGGAAAAACATCCAGGCGCAGAGTAACAGAACAAAGGCTCTGAAGGAGTGCCTCTGGTCTTACTGCATGTGGGGAGCAACAGGGAGGCCGCTGAGCTGAGCTGTGTGTGGTGGAGAGTGTCCAGCTCTTTGCAACCCCATGGACTTTAGCCCGTCTGGCTCCTCTGTCCATGGAATTCTCCAGGCAAGAATACCGGAGTGGGTTGCCATGCCCTCCTTGAGGGGATCTTCCCAACCCAGGGATCAAACCCAGGTCTCTCCATTGCAGGAGGATTCTTTACCAGCTGAGTCACCAAGGAAGCCCCTGGTGGAGAGTAGGATGAGGAGAAATTAGAAACGAAGTGGTATGTGTGTTGGAATGGGGGTGGTGGGCAGGAATATAGGTGAGAGTGTGTTAATTCCATTATGCCAAGGTGGCTCAAATGGTAAAGAATTTGCCTGCAATTCAGGAGACCCCAGCTTCAATCCCTGGGTCAGGAAAGAAGATTTCCTGGAAAACGGAATGGCTTACCCACTCCAGTATTCTTGCCTGGAGAATCCCATGGACAGAGGAGCTTGGCAGGCCACACTCCATGGGGTCACAGAGTTGGACATGACTGAGCAACTAACACTTTCACCATACCATTATCATACCTATAATAAATTAACAATATTTTCTTATATTATTCAGTGTCCAGTCAGTGTTTAAATTGCCCCAGATAACTTTTCACCTGAGCAAATCAGGGTTATAATATGGTCCATGTGTTGCAATTAATTGAGTTCTTTAAAATCTCCTTTAATCTAAAGTTTTCTCTCTGTCTCTGCCTCTCTCCCTCTTCCCCCGCCAATTTATTTGTTGATCAGATTAGGTCATTTGTCCTATAGAATTTCCCACAATCTGGATTTTCATGATTCCTCACCTCCCAGTCTCAGAACTGTCATCTAACATAATCCTCTGGCCGCTGTTTTAGAGGCTCTTTGCTACTGGTTTGGTCATTGTTTCTAGACCTTTTCAGTGAACAGAACAAGAAAATACACTTTTCTTTTTCAAGAGAAAATACTTTAATGAGTTTATACTGATTAAATAATACAAATCCAACACAAGTTCAGGATAACAGGATTTTTTTAACCTCATCTCTTGTATAGCCATATTTCCTTTTCCCAGGCTGAAAATTTCAGTGTCACCAACACCAGTACTCATTTGCTTTACCTTACAATCCACACATAGTAGTCTCAAAAAAGCAATAGCGACACTACTGCCTATGATACGATGACTCTGCAGCTTAGGGTTGTTTTTGCAGTTCTTTGTGTCCTCATGATATATCCACTATGAATGAATGAAGTCCTGTGTTTTAAAGTCAGTGGAGATGATTCATTGCTGTATGGCTGTGACACAGACTGAATCCATGGGTTCCTTTGTTTCATTTTACTTTTGATTTTAAAAGTTTGCTTAAAACCTTTTTCTGTTTTATATTTCTATAAAGTATTTACAAGGCTTCAAATTCCAAAACAAAGTATGTTTAAAGAAGTCTAACTGCTGTATCAGTCCCCTTTAGTCTGTTTCCTCCTTTCCCCTGCAGGTAGCCATTTAAAAAGGATATTATGATCAGTTGTTGTTTAGTCTCTCAGTCATGTCCAGCTCCTTGTGACCTATGGCCTGTAGGCTCCCCGCCAGGCTCCCCTGTCCATGGGATTTTCTAGGCAAGAATACCGGCGTGGGTTGCCTTTTCCTTTAGGGGAATCTTCCCAACCCAGGATTGAACCTCCGTCTCCTACATTGCTGGTAGATTCTTTACTGCTGTGCCATCAGGGAAGCCCATTATGGTTTATCCATCCATTTTAAAAGAGATATAAACCATCTGTTAAATGATAGCTTAATGTACTCACTTTTCTCCATGTTACTTATTTTTCCTTAATAATATCAGGGAGTCATCATTTCCATGTGTGGCCACGCTTTAGTCAACCAGTTCCTACTGATGGACATTGGAGTTGTTTCCAAGCCTTTACTACTATAAAATAGTTAACAGTGGACAATTATCAACAGGCCTGTGGTCATACCCCAATAAGCATAATAGAATGTATGATTCTATTGGGTTACACAGATAATTAGGGTATTCTTTTAGGCGATGGAGAGTCTAGGTACGAT